AGAATCAAGAAGTTCTAAAAAGACTATCCCCATACATTTCACAGAGTATAATCAAACGCCCACTCATTTTATCCGTTTTTGATATTGACATTTATTTTTAAGAATTGCTCTCGTTGTAAAATTAACTTTGTTAAGGATTTAAGTTCTTTTTACTTAACCCTGCTTTCACAGGATAAGCAACTCTGAAGTGCCTATGCCTTTTTAAAGTTTTTGCTCAAATTTTATAGTTAAACGATTGCAGATTGTCCTCATCCGATAAGGGTCTCTGTCACTCAAACACTGCCTGTAAAATTTGGACGCATACATACACAACCCGCTTGCAGCATATTTTTTGATTCTTCCAAAATTTTAAGATTTAATTAAGGATTTTTTCCAAAGTAAAACACAACATTGCATCGTTATCTGCTGCTCCGTCAAGCGTTATCGTTTATGACGTTTTCAATGAGGACTACCTGTCTCTTCAAGTTGATTTCTTTTCAACAAAGCAAAATATTAAGCCATAATTTGAAATACCAATGGATTTAACAACAATTTCTAGTTTCTTGTTTTTCCTTTTGGCTCTGTTTTACAGAGAATATGACTACATACATTATTTAGTCTATTGTTTGTATCTTAATAAATTTTGACCTGCTCCGCGATCCGATTTTCGCATTTTCAAAAATCTTAATTGATAAATTTTGAATCGTGATATTTAAAAAAAATAATGCAAATCATTTGGATTTCTTGCATTTAAAAAATAATGCAAATCATTTGGATTTCTTGTTTAAAGATTTTCACCAAATCTTGATAACATATGACCTCAGGATTTCCACGAACCTTTCGAACAACAAATAAAAAAAAACTTTCAGACTAATATGAATCACTATAAAAGGGAATGACATAAGCAAAACTTTTGACAGTTTTGAAACTGTCCGAATGCTTAATTTAAGTTGCAGGTTTGAAATACGACGTGAAATGTTCTTCCGTGCTCCAAAAAGCATTCACAAAAGTAATGAAATTAATTTTTCAACCGTTAAGGATTCACCGAAGTTTCCTTTCGAGATTTTTGTCAATTGTGAGATTTTTGGCTATGAAAAGTTCTTTACTGGTTTATCATGCATGAAAAATTCTTGGTGATAATGCTTTTTAGTTATTCAACAATAAACAAACATAAACACTACCACATGTGTATTTTCTGTTATTAGAGCTTCTGATTTGATCTGTGACTGCGCATGCCTTAGCATAAAAGATTCAATGAATCACTTTGACCACTTGGGGAATTCTTCCCTCGTCTCACGGAGTAATGAGGAATTAATCAGTAATTAAACTACAGGTTCAAGTTCAAGTTCAGTTTATTCACCCAGACCAATCTATTGGTACATGGGGTATTGTGCATAAATAACATATATACATTATATACAATATAATCAGTCTGGTCAGAGGTACATACACAATATAGAAAACATAACCAAAGTTTAATGGTAGAAAAAAAAGAGTGGGGAAACATATCAAGGAGGACAGACAGCAGCATAGATTTTTTGGATAGATATACAAAGTTTTTTCATCACTTTTTCGTTTGAGGTTAACATAATTTCCATGAATTTAATAACATTCGGTCTAGAAGAATAATAATTGCCCAGGTAATTCGTTCTCACATTAGATAAAGTTTTACATTCTAAAATATAATGAAATTCATCTGCAATTTGAGTGTTTTTACAAAGTGTACATATTCTATCGCACAGTGGTAAACCTTGCCATCTTCCTGTATCTATCGGTAAACGGTGATTTGTGGTACGAAATTTAATAAATATTGCTCTAAATTTAGGAGATAACTTATCAATATAATTTTCAAATCCAAAATTTTGTTTAAAGATTCTGTAAGTTTATCCTTCTGAAGAATTATTAACGTCACTAGACCACTTTTGAATAAATTGATCTTGTAATATTTGTTTTACGGTAGCAGTTATCCATTTATAATTCATATTGGCACTCTGTTCGTACCATACATTTGGTAAACCACATATATTACATATTTTCTGAATACAATCTTACCATGTGTTTATTAAATTTCCATCACAGTACAATTTAAACATATGTTTGTATAAAACATTTACAATTTTAGTTTGTGGGCCTGAAAAAAGCTTTGCCCAAAATGAAATCATTCTACAGTATACCGATATGTACCGAGGAAAGCTACCTGTTTCACCATAGACCGTGTACGAAGTCGTGGAACTTTTTAAATGAAAAAAATGCTTTAAAAACTTCAAGTGCAAACGTTCAACAATATCAAGATTTTCGTAGCCCCATACTTCAGAGCCATATAGTAAGACTGGCACTATACAACTCTATCAAAAAGATCAAATTGACAGTCAACTGGTAATTTGAATTGTCTAATTTTTCTTATAATTCCATACATCGCCTTCTGAGCTTGTTCATATGTGTTTTTTTTGTTTTACAAAAGGAACCAGAGCGTGAAAATACAACGCCTAGATATTTAAATTCTTTAACGTTTTCAATAACTAAGTTGTCGTAATAAAATTTTCTTTTTAGCATTGGACCCTTTGAAAATACCATGATCTTCGTTTTTTCGACATTAACTTTCAACTTCCATTGCAAACAATATTTTTGAAATTCGTTAATTGCATGTTGTAATTCATCGGCTGATTCAGCCATAATAACAGTGTCATCTGCATATAAAAGTACTAACAGTTTAAAATACATTAGTAATTCATTCTCAATAGTACTTGAAATACTTTGCAAGCCTTCAACATTCTTGTTAAATAGAAAATCTTCAAGATCATTAATATACATGGAAAATAGAAATGGTGAGAGGTTTTCTCCCTGTCTTACTCCTACATTGCAGCTAAAAAGTCTGTGGACATGTCATTCATTTTCACCATATACTTAATACCTTTATACATATTTCATGTATTTTGAATATATTGAAAACATTTGCCTTTTATTCCATTAATTTGTAACTTGGTCCAAAGACCATTCCGCCATACAGTATCAAAGGCTTGTTTAAAGTCAACGAAAGCACAGAATAATTTTTTCTTTCTTTGCATTAAAATATTTGATAGAAACTGTAATGTTAAAATATGATCTAGTGTAGAATAGTATTTCCTGAAACCAGCTTGATTTTCTTTCAATAATCCAATTTCATTTGCATAATCTTCCAACCTGTTATTAAGAATACATGAGAACACTTTTCCTAAGCAGCTTAGGAGAGTAATGGGGCGATAATTATCAGGCTTTGTGGGATCGCCTTTGTTTTTATATATTGGCTTAATTAAACCAATTAATCATTCTTCTGGGACAAGTCCACTTTCATATATCATGTTAAAGAATTTAATATAAACTGGCATAAATATAGATAATGTTGATGAAATATGTTCATTCAAAATACTATCAAATCCCGGGGATTTTCCATTTTTTATTTTTTTAACCGCCTTCCTTATTTCGTCTTCACTGATTACAGAGTTTAAAATCTCATCAGATATATCTGGTATGTCATTAATCTCATTTGAAACAGGTGCTGAATTATCTTGAAATGAATTTTGCTCTTCATAGTCATTTTCATTGATATCTTTCAGAAATTTGTACATGTCATCAATATCAACTGCACATTTTTGTTCTTTATTGGAAGCGTTTAAAATTTTCCAGTAATCTTTCGAGTTTGTTGAGCGTAAGTTTTTTAGTTTATCTGATAGATCATTTCTATATTTCTGTATGCATTTATCCATGGTCTTTTTATATTCTCTACTCGTGGAAGTAAGATTTAGTTTATTTTCTTCTGATTTTTTGTCTATTGTGCATTCTTTTTGCTAAATGATATTTTTCCCTAGCAGTTCTTTATTACCACGGTTTACTCTGTTTACTATCTGGTGTTATTTTCTTCTGCAATCCAAATGTTTCGCTGGCTGCATTTGTAAAAACCTTACTTATATCATTTGCTACCTTAGAAATGTCCGCTCCGCTAATTGTATCATCACGAGTAGACAATTCATTCAAAAAGTTTTTAATAGCCTCTGCGCTGGACAGTGAGATTTTACTACTATATTGATTTGCTTTGTCTTGACACCACAGTTGACACCACAGTTTCACACTTGACTGATTCTCACCTACGCGAACATTTTCATACTGTACATCAAGACTGGAAATTGTAAAAGATAACGGTTTATGTACGTCTGAAAATAAATAGCAGAAATCGTGAATATTAAAATCTCGTATAACTTCTAAATCATTTACACTAGCTAGGACATAATCAACCGTACTACAGTTTTTACACGTGACAGCACCAATGTTCTTATCATTTCCTAAACGGCTATTGACTATATAAATATCATTGTTTTAACAAAAATCTACTAATTTATAACCGAAATTGTTAATATTCGAGTCTTGAACAATTCTTTGTAAAGGTATTGAATATTTCTCAAAAATAATAGTTCGTGCTTCAATTTCATTTGTGAGAAAAATCATCACATATATGTTCTTTTGACAAAAAGCTATCGGGAATAAAATAATCAGGTAGGTGACCAGTTCTAGCATTAAAATCTCCCATTAAACAAACATTTCTATTATCATTTGCTAGAGTAATCAATTCTTGTTCTATTTCTAAAAAAACAATCATTAGAGGAATATTTACTTCCTTCGGGAGGAATATAGCAAACCCCGAATAATATATCATCACTTGTGTTAAAAAGAACTTTGTTGATTCTAAACCACAAAACATATTTACAATCAGTTTTGATAATTTGTACATATTTCACAATACTGTCCCTTATTGCTACTAAGATTCCACCAGATCTAGTATTTTTTAACTTATGTCGATTTTTAACGTACGCGACATATCCAGGTATACAGATACTGTCCGTGTCATCTGTTTTGGTCTCGGTGAATCCGATCACATCGTATTTTAATATGTTCTCTGTAAACTCGCTGTATTTGAGTCGGTTTTTTATGCCGCACACATTCAATGTTAAGAATTTAAGAGCACTGTTTGTCCGTTCTCCTGCGCGTTCCTACTTGTCTGGAGTTGATGATACTCGTGCTCTCTTTAAATTGCGGTCATTTGGTGTTCTGTTGATGTGATCAGGGGCGGATTCACTGTTCCACTCGGATCTAAAAACGGCCTGTCGGTCAGTGTTGATCCTGTCCTGCTTCCCCTGTCTGGTCACGAATCGATGAGGCTGATCAGGCGGTGGAGTGTAAACTTTGCCGTCTACGTATAAAGTGTCCCGAACAAGTTTGACTTTTTTGTGATCCTTCCTGGCTTGTCGGAGGACGGGATATAACTTCTTCCTTTTTTCTTCGATCTCTGGGGGGTATTGCTCATTGACCCAGATGCGAGTGCCGCTTAACTTCTGGGGTGCACGTGTCCGTATGAACTCTCGGTCTTTAAAGAAAGAGAACTTAGCCACTATATTGCGGGGGTATTCGTTAAATTCGCTCCACTTCCCCATCCTATGGACTCTCTCAAACGAAATTTCGTAACCAGGCTTGAATTTGCGGTAAATAAATTCTTGTAACACTGCTTCGGTGTCTTCGTTTTTCTCTTCCCATATACCACTGAATATCAAGTTGTCCCTCATGGAGCGAGCTTTGAGATCAATCATCGATTCCCGTAGGTTGACACTTGCCTCATTCAATGTCTGTATATCTTCCCTGGTCTTCTGATCTTGCTGACCTTTTCCCTCTCTGATTTCAACCAGCTCCTTGCGGTTTTCACTTATCTGCTTCGTGTTGGATCCTACTGCGTCCTTTACTGAATCAAATAAATTGCCCAGAGAACACACGTTAGATTCTAGCTCTTTCTGATCATTTTTGATAGTTTTCATTTCTTCTGTCATCACTTTGACCTGGAGGATACTGTATTTACTGCTGTTTGGATTTCACCCATAGCTGAAATTTTCTTTTCAATTTCGGTCAACCGAACTTCCAAACAGTTATTTTTGGATTCTATATTTGCCAAGTCAGAGAAAATTCCGAGAATCCAAATTAAATTTTGATATCTTCATAACGCAATTGACTTAGATTTTGTAATTTACGGAAAATTTCTATCTTTATCATGTTTTTGAAAGTAATGATACAAATAATAAGTTCTTATAATTTTAGTCTAATAATTTTCATTGTACATACGCCATATATGGCTTTAAATGATTCAAGATGAAAACAAAATGATTTTTGCTTCGTTTTAATTAGACGAACAATGAATGACCTGAACAGGAGTATTTAAAATCTTTTTTTCATTTTTTTAAATAATTAATTTATATATGATTAAATTTTACTAGCGAAAATTAAATTAAACTTTAATTTAAAAAAAAATCATCTGTAGTTAATACCCTGGGGCTCGTAACATAAAGCTTGCTAAGTTTTTGACTTTAGTAGGGCCGTAAGTACGGTTTAGGCACAATCTTAGGACCTGTCTAAGTACTGCTTAAGTATGTCTTAAACCGTAACATAAAGCGAACTAAGCTAGGTCCTAGCTAAGTCAGACTTATGTTAAAAATATTTCACATGAGTAAACCTATAGTTTTTGATTTTATATAGATAACATGTTATATGTGATTCAGTTAGGGTTTAATTAATTACATATTAAAGTTGACGTCCTTACCTATCGGTTTAAGTCATGTTAGATTAGATTTCGTATTAAAATTATAATTATGTTATAAACTATTCGGAACGTTTGTAAACAAATACTGCACGGTCAAAAAGTGGCGAATTGTGGTTCATTGTAAATGTTCACGACAATTGTTTTATCACCTGAGGTGTTTTCAATCTACCTCTTGTAACTCTTTTGTTTTGATAAATGTTCACTTACCCTGTTAAATTATTATCGCAGACAAGAAAAGATAATCGACCGCCTATTCACTTGAAACTGAAACTCTAAAGGTTCGATACATTTTAAATCCCCGCTATGTATAATGCCATGCATGTCAGGCAGAAGTTTAATGATATACTTATTATCAGGGATACAAAACGAAAAATTGGGATATTTCTATAACCGAAGTCCTACTAGTTTCAGACGTATCCCTGAAATTAAATTTTGTATTTACATGTTTGCTGTGCTGTGAGTGAAACTGGGATCAGTGATCACCCCCCCCCCCCCCATCCAAACGAAAAAATAAAATTCTTAAATCAGCGTCAAATATAGATAATTATTTTCTTGAATGCATAATATGAATAGAGGAAACTTTAAACATCGAAAGTCAACATTGAATAATTCTAAATATATGTACAAGAAAGTTAAGATATACTTAAGTCACCTCTACCGGCCGCCTAAGTTTTGCTAAGATTGCCAAATCTAAGTACGCTTCTAGTTACGGTCTTAAGTTTTAGACTGTACTTAAAGTCCTACTTAAGCACGGTTTAAGACTTAAGTAGCCCTTATGTTACGACCCCCTGATTTTTTTCACGATGAACTTTTTTTCAATGTTACTTTTTTAATTTTTGCCTCTGTATTTGGGCTTGTCACTTTTTACTCGGGGATAGTAACTTTATTGCCACAAAGCTGTGGATTAGTACTTGATTTCCATTATTGCACAGCGATGACTATGATTTAATAGCACAAAAAGCTAATGGGTTTACGTATGTGAATTAATATGATTAATGCTTACTTGTGATTTTAGGATAACTGGAGATAATGATTCCTTTTTTCTATTGATATTACATAAATATTTTCCTAAGTATTATGTTACAATAAATTGGTTTAGATTTTTTTTATAAAAGTAATCAATATTTACAATGGAAATTAAAACCATAATCATGTTCATTGAGGATTTTCAATATGTAACAGGTCAAACAGGAACTTTAATTAGGAACATTGCAGAGAACACACTCATCAGAAGATGACCCTCAGAAATAGGACAATTGTAAGTAATCAGTAAAATGAACAGGAATACTTCATGCCAACCATAAGATTTTTAGAGACATTTTCGCTTCTTAAATTAGAAGAGATAGAGGGAAAAACTTGTACATACATGTACATAACTACTAGGCAACCAACCTTTAACTGCAGGAAAGATTTTGGTATGTGCAATACAGCTACATACAAGAAATATATTGACGCAAGCGTCAAAAATCGACCGCAAACCAATTAATTTATTCTTTCATAATACAATTAGAAACTAAATTTTTATATTTATCTGTTAATATATATCCCTATGACATTAAACATTTGAATGCGACATTCCAGGGTTTTCTTCATACATAATACCTGTACATTGCTACATGTACAATGTATTTAAGCAACTTACTCATAGTCCTCTGCGTCCCCGCACTCAGTTTAATTTGTACAAACGAACTCTGGCGGAAGTTTGATGTTTAAGTAGTTTCAACACTTAACCATCAAAATAACGTTTAAACTTATCTAACTAGAGATAGTTTAACTTTAAATAAAACGTAACAACTATGTGGGGCTCCTCGCTCGCTCAGAGGATGTTGAAACCCCCCAATTCCCTCTAGATCCGCCACTACATTTTTTTTTTCTCTATTTTGTTTTGGTGTGAAATGTGGCGGGAAAAGGCTTGGCATATTGTAAAACAAACAACAAATCCTGTTGAAGTAGAGAAAGTAAATTTGTTTATACATGTATATAACGCGGCCCTTGCTTTAGACTATGCCCAACATGTGTGCTTATTTCTCCGCACTTCAGTTACGTCGGAGTTTGTCAATCAGGATTGGATGAAACATTTAACCCATTATTTATAAAATTTTTATTTTATGATTATTGTGCGTTTTTTTTTTAATATTTAAAAAAATCTTTCTTAATATTCTATTACATGAATGTTAAACATTTTTTATTCAAATTGTTCTAACTCCGCAGAAACGCACGACGACTTAAAACTTTCATATTATATAACCGACCGCCTCCTGGCGGCCGGTAAAAACCTCTTTAGTATTCAAGTTAAGTTTGAGAAAGTACCTTAGTATTTTTTCTAGTGTTTGCCAACATTTTCATGCACACTGTTTGCTTGTTTGTACTATCATTTTATTTTAAATTCTTCAGATGCCCTTTACCTTTGCCAGTTTAGAATCATTTGTTTTGAGGGCATCTGAGGGTTGGTTGCAGAACTTAATTAATTGTAAAGTAAATACTGTGGTACTATACGGTCATAGGTTATGTTAATACATGTATAACATTTTGTTCTGATAGAGGTGGCATACAGGAAAAGAAACAATACTAGATATCACTTCAAAGGAATAAAACAGCTTCATCTTGTAGGTGTATTTTATTTAAGGATCACTACTTCATGTCTGATGTGCTGAAAGTTATTCATAATCTGTTTGACTGTAATTTTTCATATTTTCAACTTCTATCCAGCTTAGTCAATTTTAATTAAATTTTTATGCAAAGCATACCCCAGGAAGGGGGGATGGAGTGTCAAGTGTGTCTCTGTCCCTGTCAATATAATTTCAAAGCAGTTAGTAATGTTTGGGTCAATTTTAAATCCTCTTTAGCACAACCATTGGGCTAAAAACAATACTAATGTGAAAGCTTTATCATTAAGTGTAGAGATGTTTTTGAAGATTATGTACCCCTAAGGTACTGATAGTGTTACATTAGAAGTCTAAAATTTGCAAGAAATAGGTGTAAAATCTTTTTAAAATCTCCTTCTTAACAATCAGAAACTAACATACTGTCTAATTAATATGCAACATCGTTTTGTGTTTTGAATGATGATTCCATTTTGATAAAATTATGGCGGATGGGGGTAGGATGAAGATGCATTTAGACATAGAAGAAAAAAAAGGGTAGATAGAATTTAGTTTTTCTTCCGTTTTATTTATCAATACATATTTCTGAATAAGAAATATACTTCTACTTCTTGGTTGGGTTTGATCAACATAAAGGGTGATCTTGCTGAAATCAAGAAAAACATGTTTTATACAGCAAAGAAATGCCTTTATCTAATTGCAGAATGAATAAAATGGACAGAGGCAGAACTGAAGGAGATGCATGAAATGAGGAATATTTCAAAGATTGCCTGAGCATAACCACTGCTACTGGATAAACATATGGCAATATAAAAGAGCAGGGTCAATGGAGGTATCATACAGTATAGGCCATGAGAGACCCTAAAGAAGAAAGTATTGAACAGAAACAGAAATAAAACCAGTTCGACATTTATTGAAATATAGGATCAAAGTCTTTCATGTAAAATTTGGGCATGTAATGACTTTTCTCTAGCTCTAAGACTTATAACAGTGATGATTTGATTTAATATCTTTATCCCGATTTGTCGAAAAGATTTGGATATAGTGCATCAATCATTTTAAAGTTTTGATACAACGAATTCAATCATTGTACTTGTAACTGAGTTTTCTGGTGCGACACTGTTTTATCGGCTTCAAAACTAAGTTTGTGATTTCCAATCCAGATTAATGAGATCATGTAATATCTTTTAACATCGGTGACTATTTAATCCATTCTTTTACATTTCAGAAGTATTTTTATTATTACAGGGAAAAAATGCATTGTACATGTATCTGTAATAAACAGGATTATAGAAATTTTCCATATAATACAACACAATCCTAGCAACTGAAGGCAAATATTTTATCAAGGGTGTGATCTATTTATCAGTATGGTTTTCAGCATCTTGCTCTACCTGTAATGACTTGCTCCAAGTTCCAATATTTAAATTTAAATTTTGCAAACATGGTTATAAAATTCTTTAAAAGCCAAATAGTTTAGGCACAAAATGCTTATATATTTCCTATCATTTGTAAAGTGTACACTGAATGAGATGTGGAATGTTAGAATTAAAGTATTAAATATGTTTTGGACTTATGTATGCTTATGCAGATAAATTTGAATTCAACTAGGGAAGGTAAATGTCATACTTAT